TGGGGGGGTTGTGTTTGGAGATTGGTTGTGGGGGCTGTTGTGTTTGGAGATTGGTGGGGGCTGTTGTGTTTGGAGATTGGTTGTGGGGGGCTGTTGTGTTTGGAGTTTGCTGTGTGGATGTTGTGTTTGGAGTTTGGTTGTGGGGGGGGCTGTAGTTTGGAGATTGTTGGGGGCTGTTGTGTTTGGAGATTGGTTTGGGGGAGGCCTGGAGGTCTGTTGTTGATTTATGGTGTGGTAGGATTGCTTAGGGGTGATTTGTTTTGTGTGGTTAATGAATAGTTGAGTTGATTTAAGTTTTATTTATTTATTTTGTATTTATTATTATTTTTTTTGGGGGTATTTAGTAAGGTTGGGTATGTTAAGTTTTTGTTTTGGGAGGATTGTAGGTTTGTTAGTGGTTGGTTGAGTTGTTATTTTATTTATTTATTCTTTATTTAATTTTATTTTATTTTTTTCCCCTTGGGCTTATACAGGTCTTCTGCATTTGTGGGATGGGCTTTTGCAGGTATTGTGCACTCCCCACGGGACCTCATTGGTGTCACTTCCTCTACAACAGGGGTCACCAAACTACGGCCCGCGGGCCGGAACCCAAGTCCTTCCCCGGCTCGTGGTAGCTCCGCCTACGCTCTGACGTTACCAGAGCTTTCGTTCTGGCTTGCAAGTATTAAACAGAATGATTATGCGGCCCGCGCTTGTCATTCTTTCAGTTATCCGGCCCACTGTGAAAAAAGTTTGGTGACCCCTGCTCTACAAGGACAGATTACAGATTGCCCCGGAGGGGGCTAGTTTATCGGGCACCCCCCTTACATCCTGTGCAAGGTGAAGCGCAGAAGCGTTTAGAGTGCCCAACTGGGAAGCATGCAGAGTTCATGCTTGCCTTTATGACTCGTGCATTAAGGGCGTAAAAGGCCTGAAGGGTCATGGGTTTTGTCAGCAAGTTACATAAAGTGACAATGATGAGTGTGTGGGGGGAAAATTCCCGGTACAATTTATCTGTTTATGGCAAAATGTGGCAGGTCACTAATAATGTCAAGTGCCAGGCCTGTCACTAGGAGGAGGGATATCTGGTCAGGGAGGGAAGAGGTGCCACCCCTGTAGGGGGAGGTCATAGGGCAGATGAGGATGTGGTGAAAGAGGGTGTGAGAGTCTGTTGACCACAAAGTTTACAAACAGTGCGGCCAGGCTCAGGGTTGCCAATGTACTAGGCGTGGCGAAGTACAGTGGGGGTGGAGGTGATATGGTGTGGTGGGGCAGGTACAGTAGGGGTGGAGGGAGGCACATAGGCATTGACAACATTGAGGGACACACCTTTTAGTGTGATTGTGAAGGTGTGTTCGTCGACATGTCGGTGGGGTACAGGTAGCCGGGGGTAGTGTCCTCAGGTCCAGGTAGCCCTGGTGGAGACAGCTCAGACACGGGCGCGGCTTGCGGTGGGTGGTGGACAGGTTGAGGCACCAAGTGTTGTGAGGATGGGGCAGGACTTCGCTCGGGGGCAGCAGGACACACCAGGGCAGGCCCGGTAGGCACTACACCAGTAGTGAAGGCCGCCGGCGGTGGAGTAGGCCGTGAGCAGGGGGGCTCACAGGGGGACCAACAGCTTGTGTCAAACCAGCAGAGAGGAGTGACTGGGTGGCAACAGAGGGCAGGAGTAGGTGGGAGATGGTGGTACAGAGTGTAGCGAAGAGTTTTTCAATACGGTTGGTAAATTCTTGGAAGAGGGATATGATCTGTGTCATGTCACTGGCGGGGGGTTGTGGGGGGGCACCGGTGGGAGCGCAAGGCCTGACAGCCTCAGAGTAGAGACGAGGAGGAGGCCCAGTAGTAGTTGAGTTAGGAGACGGCCGGGACTGCTGTGTTGTAGCCAGATGAGGCCAGGCAGAGGCAGGTGTTGTTGAAGAAGGCGTTGCTGGAGACACAGGGTACACAGGGGGGTGTGGCCCGGAAGACTGGGGGGGGGGTGCGTTGTGGTAGACTTGGCCTTCGGGGAGGCTTTTCCCCTGGGACAGACGGGCGATTGGGGCATTGTCGTGAGTCAGCATTGTGCCGGCCGCCACAGTTACAACATCTGGGATTAATTACATAGCCCACCCCACCACTATTAAGGTGGTCTTTGATTTTCTGGGCACAGGCGGCGGAGTTGTGGTTACGTGAACAGAAGCGACATCTCGGCCGATCACGACGACAGCAGGCAGTGAAGTTGTGACCCCAATGAGAACAGACAACACAAAATGCAGGCTCAGGATGATTGGCTTCTGCATACAGTGGGGGTAAGAGTGGGTGGGCACTCCCTTCCCTTCCACTTGACAATGACAGCGGGTTGTGGAACTCTCCCCCGGTAATGGCGACGTATACTCAGTATACTAGAGTTAAAGTCACGCGCATCTTCGATGTCAGCGTATAAGGGGAAACGTTTCACTAGGATGTGGCAACATTCATTCGCGTCTACAGTGGGGGGCAGCAGGACGACCCCGTCAAAGCCAACAGTACTAAGTGTTTCATAGGCCTCAGGAGTCTGACACTTGATAAAGTTCCGGTTCTTACCTTGTCGGAATTCAATGCTGAAACCGTGCTGTCTGCAGTACTTCATCATCCAGTTAAAGCGTTCCTCTACAGTTTTCAGAGTCCTTGGGGAAGTGGAGATTCAGCTTACTTGTTTGTTTGGCAGAGGGCAGGGTGATAGGGTCCATGGCATTGGTGTTTCTACTGTGGTTAGCGTTTCCCATAGAAACATTAGCGTCACTGTCATAATCACTGGGGTCTGACTCTTGAAGGGTGTTGGATTCAGTATGACCAGGCGAGTTGGTATCAGTATCAGAGATGTCTGCGTCTATGAGAGAGCCTCGTCTGGGACGTTTATGTCGACCCCCCATGCTGGCAAAACGTGCCGGCAGAGGGGACCTTGGTGGGACGATCGGGAAGCCAAGAGCACCTATGGGCATGTCTGTTCCCTTGGGTGGTCACGCCACGACTGTACAAGGACAGCCCCATTCCTTGAGGGAGGATAGTCTCATTCATTGAGGCCCGAGCAGGGACAGCCCCATTTCTCGAGGGAGGATAGTCTCATTCTTTGGGGGAGAGGGCTTGTGTACAGGTACTATGCACCCCTCCTCGACCTCATTGGCTAAGGGAGGCGGCCAAGCCATCTGTATGTTGGTATGGGATGGATATGTTAGGTTTTTGTTTGGAGGGATTGTTAGGGGTTTTTTTTTGGGGTGTGGGGGGTTGTTAGTGAAGGTTGGGTAAGGTTTTTTTTTAACAGGTTGGGTGAGTTAGGATAGGCTATGTTAGGTTAGGGAGGAGTGGTTGGGTGTGGGTAAGGAGGGGTGTTTGGTTTGATTTCGGGGGAGGATGTTGGGTATGGTTACGGGGGAGTTAGGTTGTGTATAGGGAAGGGCATCGGGTGACTGTATCTAGCTGTTACTAGTATAGGTGAGGTGGGAGTGGTGTGTTTGGTCTGTTTAGTATGGAGGGATTCCTGTTTCTGAGTCTGCGTGGGAGTATGATGTTGTCGAAGTATTCCTGCCATTGAGGGTAAGAAGTGAGGAGTGTTTTTATTTGCTTGTTTCCTAGTTGTTTCCAGTAGATGTTGAGTGGAGGGAGGGAGCGGAGTTCATGTAGGCGTCTATTTGGGATGAAGGATGACCAGTGTGTGTTATGGATGAATCTTAGTGCTTTGTTTTGTTTGACATGAAGTTACTTGGCGTTTGATGGTGGTGCTAGCTGGAGTGTGTTAGGTGCGTATGTCAATAGTGGGCGTATGAGGGCTTTGAATAGGTGTGTTTTGGTTTTGATTGATGCGGTTCTGATTCTGTTTATATTTCCGAGTGTTTCGTTTGCGATTGCTGACTTCATCTTGATGTGGCGTGTCATGGTGAGGGTGTTGTTGAATGTGACTCCTAAGATTTTATTTGTTTGTTTGATAGTAATGGGTGTAAGGTTGTCGATGGAAGGGTTTAGGTACATGTGACGTGGTTGGCGTCTTTTGGTGCCGAAGTAGGTGATTTGTGCTTTGTTAGGGTTAGTTTGTATTTGCCAAAGGAGTTCCCATTGTGTAACTTGTTCTAGTTCCCTGTGTGCTTTGTCTGTTAGGTGGTTGAGATCTCGTATGTGTCTGACTAGTTGGGTTACATCGTCGGCTTACTGTATTGTCAGAGAGTTGATGTGTAAGGGGTCGGGTAAGTCATTTGTGTAAAGAATGTATAGAGTTGGGGGACAGGACTGACCCTTGTGAGACTCCTGCTTGCAGTGTGAAGTGGTCCGAGTGAGCAGGTGTGAATTTTATCCTCATTTTTCTGTCTGTTAGGAAGTTGCCTAGTAATTGCTGTGATTTTTGAGGGAGGTTAAAATTGGTGCATATTTTATACTTTAGTCCGTCGTGCCAAACTGTGTCGAAGGCTTTTTGTAAGTCTTTTGTGATGAGTGCTGTCTTGTATGTTCCTTTGTTCATATCTGGACACTTATTATTGGACTTGTATACATGCTGTTTACTAATGCGATTTTTAATGATCGGGCTTCAGTAATTTATTAAACGCGTCACCAACCATTGATTATTCAACATTTATAGGACCAGGTGTGGAATGTATCCCTGGACAGGTGAACTACTCGCTGATTAGCACGGGTAAATGTATGCTAATTGCTAACGAATGCTAAGAATCATGTCATTTTCCATAGTGTTTCATATTATTTTCAAATTGACACATCCTCTTCCATATAGAAGTTGAAGCTTTGTGAATAACCTCAGTGACTTTGTATATATTTCTTGACAGTGTTTAATCGTCTTATATACCCTTCCTTCCCCCCTCCCTGCTCCTCTCCCTACAAATACATCCTGCCTCACTCCTGCCGTTCTCCCTGTCTTCCTTCCTCCCCTAACTCTCTCCCTCCCCTTACCTAACCTCACCTGTCACTTCTCTCCCTTCCTGTACACCCTACCCCCCCCCTTCCCTTCACACACCACCACCAAGTGTGGGTGAGTGACGCATGGAGTGTGTGTTAGGGACCACCACCTGTTACTTGTCCTCTCCTGCCTCCAGCGTCAATACCTCACCTGTCTACCTCCGCCATCAGCCTCCCCGACACAGGTACTATCATTGTTCACTGCCATAGATTTCTCATTACCAGCAATCAATTAATCAGAGTATCATCCTCATATCTGAGGGTTGGCGACCACAGTACTCCACACTAAAGGTTCTCGGGCTATTTTTACCAAACCCCCAAGATTTTGTATATCTCTGGGGACTCAGGTATAATTTCATTCATCCATCCCAGTCTCTGCCTTGCCTTCCCCTGGATCTCCTCCCCTCAACTGTGTCCATTAATATTTCTATTATTTTCCCCTGATCAGAGTATCTAAATTTTCTTTTTTTTTTCTCTGTACATTTCAAGTATTTCTCTTGACGTTTTTGCGAAACATAGTACCTCGGTTGTTTTCCTGTCGGTGTAACTTATTGTTGACATTCGCCTATAACACCACACTACTTCTTTGTAATTATTAAATTGTTGTCCTGGTTCTTGTTTATCAGAGTCACCCTCTAACAATACTGAAAGTCTGTCATCGGTTTTAATTTCATATTCTATCCCTGCTCCTCTTTCGAGCTCCCTTAAATCTCACTACCATAGCTAACATTATTAGGTAATAGTACCACACCTTTTAAACTTGTTTTAGTTAACTTCATTAGTCTAGGCTTAGGATAATTATGCATTTAAAAATGGCTAAATATGCATGCAAATATGCAGTAAAAACTGAGAAAATATGCACTATAAAATATGTTAATAAATAATAACTACTAAGCTAATGACTCCTTTTCTGTACATTTTCTCAGTAAATTTACTTTCCCAGACACGATGTCGCCGAAGTAGGATTTTTTAAAGAAGGATTAAATACAAAAAACATTACTATACTGACATAAAGTAATTTAATAAACAATACTGAAAAAAGTATTTTCCTTTTAAGAAAACAGAAGAACAAAAGAGTGTCAGGAGGGAACTAATGGAGCCTGTGCATCTATACCCTGCCTGGCTGAACACGAACCCATCACGTACAGTTCATGTCCACTGACCAGCCAATCACGGCCTAGCTAACCACAGCCTAATGTTGAGCTATATAAACATCACTTACGTATGTTCCTTTTGGATATTATGACGCTAAAACAAAATCGCGTATTTTCGATTTTGTATTAGTGCAACAAAATGGACATTTATTATATTTCAAATATCAGTAATTTCTGCCCCAGCGTTGCTGTTATGCTCGCGAATTTTTTGTCCCTTGAGGTTGAAGAATGTTTTATAATATTTTGGAATTTTCCAAATATGTGCCTTATAAAAACAAAAAAAATATGAATATGCACTTTAGCTCAAAAAAGGCTTAAATATGCATTTGCATATGCACATATGCAAATGCATAATTATCCTAAGCCTCATTACCATAGCTAATGTTACTACTAAAGGAACCATAACCACCATAGTTACTTTTATCCTCTTCGCCACTGGCCGGCTCGTTAGCCGCTTGGGCGGTCGGTCAAGCCTCTGTTGACACGTACTGGGCATGCACCGGCTCCTGAATGTATCTTAACTTGCTCCAGTGTTGGTTAAGTCTGGTCTCGAAAGAGCTCACACGAAGTTCCCAAGCGCTTTCGTGTAATTCACATCTTCAGGGGTGAGTACAGACTAAAGAGAAATACTAACCAAGGTGTATATATACAGAGGAGGGTGAGACCAGGTCCACAATGGTCAGGTATTAGGTAATGACCCTACTAATCTTTAAATAGCACACAACGGTTGGTGGTCAGGTCAGAGGATAAGGTGACCCAACCTTCTCACCTGGTTACAAATCTTCTTAATTACAAAATTGTCCAGTTTGTACATACCATTACTCAAATTCATGTTGACGGATTCAGTATGTTTAATGAGACTGGATTCTATAATGTTCCTTCTGTCAATTGAATTACAAGGTAATATTGAGGAGGCATTATCCCAGTCAATGCAATGCTTATTATCCCTCAAATGAACAAACAGAACATTGGATTCCTGGCCTGTCCTAACACTAAATTTATGTTGTTTAAGTCTAGTTACAAGATCTTTACCTGTCTGGCCTAAGTAAAACATATTACATTCCTTGCAAGGAACTTTATAAATACAGCCGCCTGTATTGTTGGGGAAGTTCTTGATTAACATTTGTTTAACAGTGCATGAGTTTTTAAATGCCACATTGACGTTCCAGGTTTTTAGTTGTAAAGGAATTTGAGAGAAAATTTTGTGAAATGGTAATACTAAGATATTCTTATGGTCATGGGTGGGCTTGGGATCGGTTCTATAAAAAGATTTCTTAGTAATGTTAAGGCATTTGTCTATAAAAGATGTAGGGTATTTAAGGTTCAAGCCAATATTATAGATATATTTATATTCCTCATCAATGAATTCCGGACTGCAAATTCTCAAAGCACGTAAAAACATTGATGAAAATACTGACTGTTTGACTCTGTTATGGTGGGCAGAATAATAATGAATGATGAACACGCATTAGTAGGTTTCCTATAAATACTGAACTTAAAGGTGTTACCTATTCTGTGGATCAGACAGTCTAGGAATGGCAATTTACAGTCATGCTCTAATTCCACAGTAAATTTGATTAGATCATGACTGTAAATGTCCAAAGGACTGGTTCCTGCAATTCGGCACCTCAGCTACCCAGGGAGAGTAGAGCTTCTGCATCTACTGTACCTAGCTTATACTATAGACAGGCAAGAGGTTACCTAATTGAAGTGTATAAACATCTCAGAGGGCACTACTCGGTCGAGTGTCCATAGCTGGAGCTGGTGGATGCCCTCCCCACAAGGGGTCACAGTTCAAGGTTGAAGTCACTACAAATTCATAAATTTGTGAGGACAATTTTTTTGTAGTGAGATTTGTGAGCTCTTGAAACAATCTGCCAGAGAGAGTTGTGACGGCACCGAGTGTGAGCTGTTTCAAGACCAGACTTGACCAACACTGGCGCAGGTACAGATACATTGTGGAGCCAGTACTTGCCAACACTGCGTAACAGAGACGTGACCGCCCAAGCAGCTAACGAGCCGATCAATGGCGAAAAGGATTAAAGTAAAAGTAAAGTGGTATAGTTTTTAAGAATCTTGGCTCAACCAGAATATCGTACTACCAAGTTCTCTTCTGCAGCTGATACAGGGTCTCGTGTTTTATAGTACCAGGTAAGTTTTCATTTTATAATAATAATGATAACAATGATGATAATAATAGTAATGATAAATTTTCCAGATCTTCATCACTGAGCTCTTAAGACATGATGGGGCGCGTAATGACCACATTCCTACTTATGCTGATAGCTGTCGGGGTCACACTCACTCTGCCAGAGCCTCTGAGTCCTGTGCTCAAGGTCAGTATTGGTTCAGTTGCTTCCTTTTATAACGGTTATAGTGGCATCACCGCCCACCAGACAACAAATAGGAGCCAAAGACATTCAACATGGTAATCTATATTAAAACTATAACCTTGCAGGAAATGCGCATATACTTGCTCTGGTTACTATAATGAGGGTAGTTCTGCCCATTATGCTAGTTTGACTATGATATAAGCAAACAGTGATGCCACATATCTCAAAAGATGCCAGCTACTGTACGTGTTATATATGGAGACAATTGCACGAGATCACTCACAAATGGCACGAAAGATAGAGTAAGATGTTAGATGTTGGAGTAACTTCTTACGAACATTCTAGTAAAGATTTTTCGAAGGCACAGCTACTTTATGGTGAGGCCTGATTGAGGTCTCTCCCTTTCTCTCTCTCTCAATACCTTGACGGTCCCGTAATTTATGTGGCATTTAGAAGAGGGAATGGCCTGTCTGTCTGGGTTCTTTCTGTGTGTATTTATATCTGTCTATCTATCTACTTTTGCTTACATACCTGTCTGTCTCTACCACGGACAGAGGTTAGTGAGGTCTCAATGCATCAACGCCACAACACTCCAGCACTACTCCTGCCAGTGTGACCTCAACGGCTCCTACAATGCCATCGCAGACGTCTCCTCCTTCTGCCTCCCGCCATCTTACCAAGAACTCTGCTATCAATTCTTCCCTGACACCACAGCCTCCTCCCCCTGTGGATGCTGTGTGATCTTGGACGACACTCTGTGCTAGTGGGTGAGTAATGGTGTGTGCGTGTGGGTGTGCGTGTGTATGTGTGGTTAGGTTGGCCAGGAGAGGTTGAGTGGTTATAGCTAATGGTTATTGCAGAAGTAGTAATAGTTATTGCGGTGGTTATAGTGGACAATTTGAAGGTGTATGGGCGAGAGAGAGAAATTTAGTAACCAGAAACTTCATCCTTTTCCTACACAATTCTGTTCAACCACTGTCCGTTTTCTAATTTCACTATGATTCATCTTTTAGTAAACGAGTTGCGATCCTAAGCAAAACTCCATTTTCAAAATAATTATATTTTATGATTAGGTTAAATTGTAAAACGATATTGACCGATAGATACTATAATATTATCAACAATCACACAAACATAATGTTATGTGTGTAAAATCATATACGAGCACTTTACTTTTTACTTTTATCACTTTAACCTCTGCCCCACTGATTGGCACGTTAGCTGCTTGGGCGGTTGGTCACGTCTCTGTTACGCACTATTGGCAAGTACTGGGCATGCACTGGCTCCTGAATGTATCTGAACCTGCTCCAGTGTTGGTCAAGTCTGGTCTTGAAACAGCTCACACTCGGTACCGTCACAACACTCTCTGGCAGGCTGTCCCAAGAGTTCACAACACTCACTCCAAAAAAGTTCGCCCTCACAGTTTTCTGGACTTACTGCTTTTTCAACTTTGAGCTGTGACCCCTTGTGTGGTGAGCGTCCGCCAGCTCCAGGTGTGGACACTCGACTGAGTAGTGCCCCTCGAGATGCTTATACACCTCAATTAGTTCCCCCTTCCCGTCTGTAGTATAATCTAGGCAGTTGCAGGCGCTCTAATCTCTCTGGGTAGCTGAGGTGCCGAAGTGCAGGCATCAGTCTGGTGGCCCTCCTTTGGACATTTTCAATCAACTGATAGTCCCTAGCATATCTTCGGGGACCAGACGCGGTTACAGTACTCCAGATGGGGAAGCACCTCACTCTTGAAGATCGTTACGAGGGACGAACTATCTAGATATCTAAACGACCTTCTTATAAGACCTAATAATTTGGTTGCTTGATTTACTTTCTTCTCGCAATGGCCCGAGAACTTCAGTTCATTGTCAGCAAACACACCCAGGTCCTTTTCGCATTTACTTGATAGTTTCTCTGCATTTAAATTTGGTCAAAGAATATATTGGACAGGATATGAATTTTGTATCATTGATGCTTAATCTATTACACTTGTATATATGTTGGAAACTTATACAATTAAATCACGTTTTCTTTTTACCACGAAGATTTTTTTTGGGGGGACTTAAATAATCTAAATCCTTTTTATCCTCACAGGTTAGATAGAACTAGACAAAACAAAGATGACGGAATACAAACAGAAAAGAGTGGAGAATAACGAGGAGTTAAAGCGCATTAGAAGCCAGCAGTAATGTTAAGAAACAAATAATTATTCACAAAATTTTCACCATGTTGACTAATGGACACAAAGTGCAAAAAAGAATAGACAACCATACCCATGGACGGACAACCATACCCATGGACGGACAACCATACCCATGGACGGACAACCATACCCATGGACGGACAACCATACCCATGGACGGACAACCATACCCATGGACGGACAACCATACCCATGGACGGACGGACCATACCCATGGACGGACAACCATACCATGGACGGACAACCATACATGGACGGACCGGAGAACCATACCCATGGACGGATCATACCCATGGACGGACAACCCTACCCATGGACGGACAACCCTACCCATGGACGGACAAACCCATGGACGGACACCCTACCCATGGACTGAAAACCATGCCCATGGACGGACAACCATACCCAGACGGAGAACCATACCCATGGACGGACAACCATACCCATGGACGGAAAAACCATACCCATGGACAGACAACCATACCATAGACGGAGAACCATACCCATGGACGGACAACCCATGGACGGACAACATACCATGGACGGAAAAACCATACCATGGACAGACAACCATACCCATAGACGGAAAAAACATACCATGGACAGACAACCATACCTATGGACGGACAACCATACCTATGGACGGAAAAACCATACCCATGGACGGACAACCATACCCATGGACGGAAAACCATACCCATGGACAGACAATCATACCCATGGACAGACAATCATACCCATGGACGGACAACCATACCCATGGACGGACAACCATACCCATGGACAGACAACCATACCCATAGACGGAGAACCATACCCATGGACGGACAACCATACCCATGGACGGAAAAACCATACCCATGGACAGACAACCATACCCATGGACGGACAACCATACCCATGGACGAACAACCATACCCACGACCCGCCCTGCATCTAAAAATTGTCGGAATTTTTACTTCAGCTGTCGAGAGAGTGGAAGTAAAAGATCAACAGCTTATAATTTGTCACTTCATTTTACTTCCGAGACGGTAGGTTTAAGGAGCTTTGAGCATTTATTAATCTTTGACACTATAGTTACAGAGAACATGCCTGTTCTATCGTCTATAATCATGGTTCTGTAACTCCTTTTTATTTTATTTTTATTTTTTGGAGATAATAAATTTTTGATGTTTTGAGTGCAAGTGTTTTTTCTCAGTTTACCTTAGCTATGAAAAACGTATTTGTTAGTATTATTTTTATTAGTATTCTTGTTATCGTTTATTTTATCTAGTATGGACAAGTCTGTAAGATAGCCTGGCTTGAATATAACGTTTAAATCCAGTTTAATTTTGAAATATCCTAGTTTACTGCACTAACCAAACGTTGACTTTCACAACAATTTTCAATTATACGTTACGTCTCAATGGTGACGAGATTATCATATACTGTACTGTATATGGGTTAATTTTCTAATAACATCAATATTTCCTACGGTACTAAAAATGGGTGAACGGACATTGCATCAAAGGCCAGAAATACAAGACCAATAATCCCCACCCTAGCCTCCACCTGACAGTGCATCAGGTCTGGTCAGTTACATTAGGCTCCCAAATCCCCCACAGTTCTATGGGAGTGGAAAATTCCAAGTATTCGCTTTAACACACAGATTCATTCACATCCATATCATAAAGATTTTTATTTTTTAATTATATTTACTTGACCAAACTTTAAGATAAACTATTTTGGATTATTCTAGTAAAGAAATTGAGTTTCTAACTTAGTTAGAACTGCTTTGACAGACTCTGGTAGTTTTGACTTTCGAAAAACATTCCTTAGCACCCAGAAACATTCTGGGGATGTGGGTTTGTGTCTGTCTGTGCAAGATGCATAGTTTAGATGCTTGGAAACTTTTCCCATTAAATGTAATGGACGTGGGAAACATATTTTTCCCAAGAACAATCTCAAGCGTCACACACTTGAGCATGAGAAATTTTTTATCACATAATTTTTTTAATAATTTTAGTAGAATAATAATGTTATACACTTAAATACAGTGATTTACATCAACTTAAAATCACTTGAGTAAACTTTATGAATGTAGAAGGAGTCAACAAAAGTGACAAATGTTAGTTTTTGGATATTAAAGACTTTATAAATACCTGCTGGATGATAAGTGGAGAATTTAAATTATCAGAATGTTACAAGAGCTGAAAGACACTAATTGTGAGATAATAATGTACACTTTATAGAAATATAATGGAAGTTGAAGATTTTGAGGGATCAAGGAAATTCCTGGTCTTTTAACAATTTCTCTGACAGGTACAGTACAGTATTGTCCCAACCATCATCAAATGCTGATACACAGTGCTTATTTTCAAAACTAAATGTAATGAAAACAAATTCAGGTAACGCCCTCCAACAGCGCTCTCATTGTGGTGTCTCAAGCCAAGAGCACAAGGGGGTTTACATCAACTCTGGACGTGGTTACCCGTGTAGGGAATTGTTAGAGGGAGGTAATCATTGCTTGGGTTCATATTGTGTTTGTGTCTTCTTTATATACTCTACTGTAATGAATTTTAATATCAAATCTTTCATAAAGTGTGAATATTAACATTTTTATTCATTCACGACATTGATATTGAATTTTTTTGTTACACAATACTCCCTGAATACCAAGGGATAATGTATACATTTTAATTTGTAAATATGCATGAATAACTAAAATAGACCTGCACCATTTTTCTAAAAACTACAATCACCAAAGAAAACATGCGGCATTGTGGCGTCACATCTGCAGACAGGGCTGTGGAGTCGAAGACAAAACCTTCGACTCCGACTCCTCAAATTTTTATGCTTCCGACTCCGACTCCGACTCCTTGGCCTATTTGTAACAACTATTTCTACCATCCTAATTGTAATTTGTATGTTGTAACCTGCATAGGTAAAAAGTAAAACACCGTGGCTATACTGCTACAGCTTTATTAATGATCTGGACGATATTTAAGAACTACAAAAAGATGATAGGCTTGACTTTCAAAGTTTCAATCAAAAGAAAAATAAATTTATTAAGAATTCAAGATATTAACTAGAAAACACCATTTACATGTATATCTAAAAGTTCGATCTCAGCATATGAATTTTGTTTAAGCTCATAATCTGATGTGGATCTAAATGATGATCCTACAATTCCTTTTAAAGTAAAGTTATATATTTATGTACATTAAAGAAATGAATACCTTATTAAGGAAAATGGATAAACCTTACATGATTAAGTTATTAAATTAAATTTGCCTTAATCTCACCAAAAACAGGTTGTAGCTAATTGTTTTGTAGCTGAGAGCCTCTGTGCAGTTTTCAACGAAACAAAATTTGATATAATTCAAAATTTCAAATGGTAAAGAAGAGACTATCGTCCAAAATTATAGTGCTATACTGTGCCTGCTACAATAAATTCATAATAATGCTTATAAAATGGAAATAAATTCTTTTAATAATTTAAGAAAATTAGTGGGATCAGTGGAATCACTGCAATGAATATGCCTGAGTTCATATATTTGTTCTTAGGAACAGAATAGCTTCAGTCGGAGTCGGAATCGGAGTCTGGACAATTTTACCGACTCCGACTCCGACACCACAAGCCGAAATTTCCTCCGACTCCGACTCCATAGCCCTGAATTAGGTACTCCTGAATGTGCTGCTTAAGGATCTGTTAACCAAAATTTGATATCTTGATTATAACTTGTTCAAATGGCTTTTAGAAAATGTTCAAATGATTTTTAGAATATTTTAATTACTTTTGCAATGCTAATTACTCGCCACTTATGGGTTTTCGAGGTCATTTCTTGGTGCTTGTGTATTATTCTGGATGTACTTAAATAGTTAGGCACATTAAATTTTAGTTCAGAGAGAAAAAGTATTTTTGGCCAAAAATCCTTTAAGGCTTTAGACTTACAATTTTCGTCATTTCGGCTCCCGGCTAGATTATTAATTTTACTGTTGTGTTGTTTTTTTATTTTTATTTATATTTTAACCAATGGCTACCCAGCATTACTACATAATAATAACATTGGCATTTTACTACTGTTAAGAGTTGAATGTGTACTTTGTATAAATTAGCGACAGTTATTGTGTTTTATTTCTCAACGAGTGTACAGTTATTCCCTCGTCATAAGTAGTGTAATAATTAACAGCTTGGAACATGTACAGTAGACCCTTGTGCCACTGAGTTACCCAGGCACTCTTGCTCAATTGTTTGTGTCTCACCAAAGTCAGTGTAGAGAGGTCGGACCGACAGTGGTCTAGTTTTTGTTTGCTCTGCACTGTGACGTCGCATGAAATATAGCTGGCTGGCCTCTCTCTCTCTCTCTCTCTCTCCTGGTATGGGAAGGTTTAGTTGAGAAAGATGTAGCTATAGTAAGAGGGACTATCTAAAAGGGCGTCGTAAAAGGTCTGGCCACTTTCGTCCCTTCCAATTTCTACTCTCCAATATATTTCAGTGAGATAGAACAAGTTTTTGACAACATTTGGTCTTCATATTTAACCTGCTGTCATTGCTGCCCTCCCCCCCCCTCCCTCCCATACATTTAAATTCATTTCACATAGTTTGTATTCTAAACCAAACTCTTTCTTACTTGCTGTCATCATTTCCCAAATACAGGAATCAGTTATAAAGCTTCCAGTCTTGAGGTAAAATCCTGAATTGAGAATTTATCCCGATCATGACTCGGGTTTTGGAATGAAAATTTCTTTTTTTCCAACAGGATCAATGTCAAATTTTGTCAACACCTTAAGGTTACTGGACCCTACGTCTTGCACCATTGCAACGACAGGGTGACCTTCATGCTCAAGCTCTTCTATTAAAGTTAACAAGATCTTTTGTATATCTGGGACATCAAAGTCATAAAAATTTGGCTGCTTCCAACTGCCTACCAGCCCGCCAAGCATGACGACCTGGACTTTCTCATGAGGTTTATATAGGATATCCTTACCTTTGTCATAACTCAATTTACTCGCAATGGCCATTTCATCTAATGATATCACGGCAAACCTATCAAGTGGACTAAAGTGTCAGACTTTGTGTTCATGAGTGACAGCACAGAGTGTAAGATGCCACGTTTGAATAACAAATTCTTGGCCCGTTCTTTAAGAGTTGTTTTACTCGGGATTCCTTTTATAGTTTTCAGATATTCATAACATTTGGGACTTGTGCTTCTCAGAGTTAAACCCTCAGACAGTGTACACACAATGGCCTGGGTAACACTGGGCTCTGCCTGTCGAGTACAAGGAGACGCAGGCGGAGTCGATCATCTGACGTCATCACTCCCTCGGCCCTCACCCGCGCCGTCCGACCTCTCTACACAGACCTTCCCCGTCACATAGTGTAACATACGTACACAGTGAACTTCCCCCACCCCCTACGTTGACCTTTGTAGCAACTGTTACGGAGTCTTCTCACGACAAATGTCTTCGGAAAAGTTGAAAAGTAAAATAATATCGACTGTCGTAAAGACCTGCACTGTGTGTTGTGAAGACCACGAATAAAGAGTCAAATGCCGGGAAGAAAAGGAAGTTAGTCTCCATCAAACAGTTTTTTTTTTAGTTCTGTTTAGTGTTTCTGTTTAAGGGAGTGTTTTGTTGATGGTTATAAGTACAAGTGTTGTAGTACAGTATAACCCACCACAAAACACTAAATTATTTCTCAAACACAATTCTACTGTACATAGCAAAATATAATAATAATTTACGAAACATTTAAACAATTATAAGATATGAAATGTGTTTATCTAGTAACTAATTGTTTTATTTAATTGTCCAAATATGAAGAGAAATTGGCAATGAGTGACTGGTGGTGATGACTGTTGGTGGTGGTAACTGTTGGTGGTGCTGGTGGTGATGACTGTTGGTGGTGATGACTGTGTTTGCCAACCAAGCTGACTCATGGACAGTGAAACCTCTATTTAACGAACTATATTGAGATGAGAGTTCGTTATATGGAGGTTACACATACTGTACTAGCGCATATTGACCACATAATGAGGGTGAATGCCACATATCATCATCATCAGAGATCTTGATGTTGAAGTTGAAATTGTTGTTCATAAATGAGTACTGTAATATGTGTAGTCCAGGTTGTACCTCTCTAGTCCGGCATTCTGTGGTCCGGAACGATTTTAGTTTGTCCAATAGGTAGATAGGCAGCTTCTGTTTTTTTTATCTGAAATATTATTACAGGAGTATTAAATTTTTGCTCCTCAAGCTCCAATGTGGGTGAGTGACCTATGCCCGGGTGGGCTAATCCCCGTAAAAAACAACAACAACAGAATCGCCGGAAATTAAGGTGTGTTTACATCCGGCAGTTCGGCTGCTCTCTCTCTCTCTCTCTCTCTCCTTGTCTATACAGAGTACAACATTTAACCCTTCAATATATATGAGCAGTAAATAAGTGTTGCTTTCATATTCTCATGTAGAGTAATGACGATATGTTTTCACATGTTCACATGTGCGCACTTACATACGCGCAGTCTCACTTTTTTTTACCATTAATGGTTAGCTACTTATATTGCTCCATTTATTAACATTAAATAACATTACAGGTACTTCAAACAACCATATTAATTTCTTTACATTAATTTTACTACAACTACAATCAGGGTCTTGTTTTCTTCAGTTTTATATGTAGAACCAATCAGTAACTGGTTTTGTAAGCTTTAACAAAAACAATGCCGGCAGCCGTATCGTCTCCTCTAATATTCCACGTATTATTAATAAATTGTATTGTTAATTTTTCACACACAAACATGAATTCAATAAAAACAAATTCAGAAACATTAATTAAAATATATATATGAACAGTAAATAAGTGTTGCTTTCATATTCTTATGTAGAGTAATGACGATATGTTTTCACGTGTGCGCACTTACATATGCGATCTTTTTTTCTTTACCATTATCGTTAGCTACTTCTATTGTTCCATTTATTAACATTAAATAACATTACTTAAAACAACCATATTAATTTTACTACAGCTACAACCAGGGTCTTATTTTCTTCAGTTTTATATGTAGAACCAGTCAGTCACTGGTTTTGTAATCAACGAAAACAATGCTGTCTCATTTCCTCGTGTTTTAATATTCTATGCATTATTAATGAATTGTATTGCTCATTTTGCACACACAAACAATAATTCAATCAAAAAGACTCAGTAATAAACAATTATGAATGTTTTGTACATAAGAGAAATGACGCTGTTTACACGATTGTGCACGTCGTCTGAACGTTGGCGGGCCGTTCAAACCCGTCGAAATTCGAGTTTCCGCCGTCAAAATTTTTAAATGTGTTGTTTTTTTGTGTTCAAATAGAAAACGTTGAATTAAAAACTCGCGAAATTTGAGAAGCTACTGTACGACATTTAACCTTATTACTGTGTTCATATACTGTACATCAGGGGTGGCCAACCTTTTGTGTTAAGTGATCTATTTTTTCCACAGTTACCCTGACGCGATCTACCAGCCTAATATTCACCCATTGCCATAAAATACGGAGAGAGAGAGTAAACAAATAATATTTTTCAATAATTGTTTTAATATATTGTTAACATGACAAAATGATAAACTTGCTTTACTAATGAGATGGTTAGCACTGCATGTTGTCTGACTGTAGGCGGTGACTGGTAGCCTTATCCAGGTGTTGAGCACCGCATGTTGTCTGACTGTAGGCGGTGACTGGTAGCCTCATCCAGGTGTTGAGCACCGCATGTTGTCTGACTGTAGGCGGTGACTGGTAGCCTCATCCAGGTGTTGAGCACCGCATGTTGTCTGACTGTAGGCGGTGACTGGTAGCCTCATCCAGGTGTTGAGCACCGCATGTTGTCTGACTGTAGGTGGTGACTGCTAGCCTCATCCAGGTGTTCAGCACCGCATGTTGTCTGACTGTAGGTGGTGACTGGTAGCCTCATCCAGGTGTTGAGCACCGCATGTTGTCTGACTGTAGGTGGTGACTGCTAGCCTCATCCAGGTGTTCAGCACCGCATGTTGTCTGACTGTAGGTGGTGACTGCTAGCCTCATCCAGGTGTTCAGCACCGCATGTTGTCTGACTTAGGCGGTGACTGCTAGCCTCATCCAGGTGTTGAGCTCCGCATGTTGTCTGACTGTAGGCGGTGACTGCTAGCCTCATCCAGGTGTTCAGCACCGCATGTTGTCTGACTGTAGGTGGTGACTGCTAGCCTCATCCAGGTGTTC